GCTGGCGCACAGATCAAGTATGGCCCTCAGTTTCGGTGTGCGCTAGCGCAAAGATCAAGTATGGCTCTCAGTTTTAGTGCGCGCTAGCGCACAGATCAAGTATGGCCCTCAGTTTCGACGCTCGCTGGCGCACAGATCAAGTACGGCTCTCAATTTTGGTTCGTGCTGGCGCACAGATCAAGTATGGCCCTCAGTTTCGGTGNCTCAGTTTCGACGCTCGCTGGCGCACAGATCAAGTACGGCTCTCAATTTTGGTTCGTGCTGGCGCACAGATCAAGTATGGCCCTCAGTTTCGGTGCGCGTTGGCGCACAGATCAAGTATGGCTTGCGGTTTCAGTGAGCGCTGACGCACAAATCAAGTACGGCTCTCGGTTTCGGTGTTCAGTATGGCTGTACGAGCAACCTCAAAATCGGCTTTGTTCTGAGAGTGGCAGTCTCAAAATCGACTCTGTTCTCGAGGTAACTGTACTGGCAGTATCAAAATCGACCCTGTTCTCGAGGTGAGTGCACTGGCAGGCCCTGTTTTCAGAATGAGTGCGCTGACAGTCTCAAAAATCGGTTCTGTTCACGGTAAAAAATTGCCCTTAAATACAGCGTACACAGACATAGTTCGGTTTCAACTCTCAAGTGTGTGCAAACACGCAGTTTGGTCACGACCCTCAGATACAGCGTGTGAGCGCAGTGTTTATGACCAATCAGATACAGAGTTCAAGCAAATGCTTTCAGATCAGATACGTCACGTACACAGCTCACGGAGGGTGAGTGACAGGGTAATAGAGGCGGTTGGAAAAGAAGAGGGAGTGAAAGGGAAGATGAGAAGAGAGAGAGGAAAGTGATGAGAAAGGGAAAATGGGAGGCCAGTCTTGCACCCCCCTTTTCCATATCCCTTCCCTGGCTTGCCTTCCGCTCGACTCTCTTGCCTCCTGCTCCGTGCTCCCCTCCTGCTCTTGCTGGCAAGTCGCTGATCTTTGACGCATGCTCTCCGCCTCTTGCCGTCCCGCCAAGGCTGACGTGTGCCACGTATGCTGATCTGTCTGATCTGGTCTCTTGGGTGACGTGGCCTCTCTTTTATAATGGAGAGGCCAAGTGATCGGAGCTGAATGCTGCAGTCCCAAGGTCGGGGCCGTGGTCTAACTCTAGAGCGGGCCTGTGCTAAAAATAACAGCAGTCCCGACCTCGGGATATGAACAGTCAGTCCTATTTTTAGAACGGGACTGGCGCAGGCCCAGTCCCCGGTAAATGATCAGTCAGTCCCACGCTAAAAATAGCGTGGGGCTGTGCTATTTTTAGAATGGGACTGATGCAGGCCCGACTTTGGGAAATGAACAGTCAGTCTCATGCTAAAAATAGCACATGACCCTATTTTAGGTATTCGGGCCTGGCTGTTCATTTATATGGTTACTTAGGCCTGTTCCTTTCCTGGCCGGGTTACGTGGTCGTGTCGGTCCGGTCCCATCTGGTCAAACTTGAATATCTCACTAACCCTTGGTCCGTTTCGAGTGCAATTTGAACCGGACCCCACTAATTGGCCCATTGCGGTCGTGCTAGTCTTGTCCAATGGGGACGATTAGGTCTCCGGCTGACCGTACTGCCGCGCCGTCTTTCCCTTGATTTTGGCCCAGGGGAAGTCTATCCGAAGCGCTTGGGCCCATGACTGCAGACGCAATTTTGACGCAGTGTGGGAGTTGACCGCGGTGGGTCAATTTTCGCTGCCGCGCCGCATCATCTTCCGACACCGTCACCGGGAGTTCCTGATAGCGAACGATCCGGTGAAAGCGGGGGAATCGGTTGCTAGTGTGAGGGAGGGATGCGAGGTAATCAGGGTAGAGGGTGGTAAAGGTTCATAAAAGGGCCACGCGGAAGTGATCGTGGTTCTCGGATGCGGGGATAGTCCCCGTAATCATGCAGTATACCTCGATCATATTGTAGCCTCGCCACGCGGCACTAAGGAGAAGGATATGGAAGCAGAAGACAGGGAGGGCGCATCGGGTGGAAGGGTGGGGGTGAACAGTGACAGGGAGGCAGGTAGTGTAGAAAAAGCGGGAGGTATCAATGGGAAAGGGATTGTTGGGGAAGGTGACGCGAGTGGTAATCTAGCGGAAAGAGAGGTGGTCAAGGGGACGGCGGGATAATGACCGGGGACGAAGCCCGATGCCCTGCATCGGTACGTGGACGAGTTGGTGGACGGTCGGTGGCGGAGGGGGAGGGGAATCGGCCTCGTCGCCGTCTTGCCGGTGCGGCCGAAGTCTCGGCAGCAAGGTCCCCATCCTCAGGCTTAGGTGGCAATGGATCCTGGGCTGGATCGTCGGTGAGCGGCTGACCTGCTGCGCTGGCGAATTCCAACTGTCGTTTCCCGGTCGCGATCTCTTCCCTCTTCTGCGCCTGGGCCTTCGCCCGAGCCTCGTCACGCACTTCCTCCTCAAATCCTTCCCACTCCGACTCTTCCAGCTTCCCTGGTCTTCTTCATCTTCCTCCTCCTCCTCTTGTTCTTCTTCCTCCTCCTCCTCTTGTTCTTCTTCCTCCTCCTCCTCTTGTTCTTCTTCCTCCTCCTCCTCCTCCTCACTTTGCTCCCCTTCGCTGTGCTCACTGTAACTCCCCTCTTCGGGAGTTTCTTCCTCGTCGGCCTCTTCTTCATCTTCTTCTTCTTCTTCCGAGCTTTCCTCTTCCGCTTCAATCTCTACCTCTTCGTTCTCGGAGGCCGTCCGATCTTGAAAGAAGGCGAGATCGACTATCTCGTGCGGGTTCAGATAACCGCGCTGTGCGGTGGGTTGCGGTTGCTTCCGAGCGCCTCAAAACACGCCGACCACTGAAGGTATGGCATCAATGTGCGTGGGAGGACGTGCGGGACTGGGCTGTTGTCGCTCTGCGAGACGATCTCAAGTGGGAGATCGGCGGCCAGCTACACCAGGGAGACCGTTAGGCTTTAGCTCTTGCACGATTGGTTGTCGATGATCGGGCCGCACTGATCCGAAGAGGAATCCGAGTAGATCGCCCTTTACTCTCGTTCGCCACGCCTGGATGATAAGCAGCTCAAGGTACTCAGCCCACTGGCGGTGATCCTCGTGCCGCATCCACTTGACCTTTACTCCGACCAGACACACCGACAGCTCGACGAAGTGTTCTTGCCAACGCCTCCACTGCTGGGGATCAAGGAGGGGGACGACAAGTGACTCCAGACAAAAGGAGGGATGCGGATGGACTCTGGATTGCCAGAAGGTGGGAAAGAAGGAAGGGAGGTTGAAGGTAGAAATTGGGGACGGGTTCATTGAGGACGTTGGAAAGGAATGAGTTCAGGGAGCACCACCGCCGGCTCGTGTTGGAAAACTCAGATCCCATCGAGGTTGACGCCATCCGTGGGGAAAAGATTATCCCCGTGGGGCATGAGCCAACGATTCCACTCTGACGTCAACTACTGCGCCCACAGCCGGAGGGTCGTCTTGATAGTCGTATGCCGCAGCGGGCTGATGGTGCTGATGTTGCCGCTGAAGGCGACAACCGTAGACACGTGGCTGATTCCAGAAGTTGATCGCCGATGAACTGCCACCGCCTCCGCCAAAACAATCGCTCAGGGACTGCCTGCAAATCGAAACTCAGCGGCTGCGTACACTCCCCCACTACAGAAGAACTGCGCAAGTCGCCGAAGGTCCAGGCTGAGCCGCGGATGATGAACTTGTCGGATCACCGAGATGTAGCACCGTGGTACCAGCAGAGAATCGCTGAGAGCTCGCTCTGCCAGAAAACTCATGGCGATGGTGACGGGGACGGAGTAACAAAAGGAGAACGAGAAGGAGACGGAGAGACTGGCAATAAGCAGTCGTCGTCCTCTTCCGCAGTGGAGGAGGAATTAGATGAAGGCAAAGATGCGGAAGAAGGAAGGGGACGAAGGTAGGACACGTGGCGGATGATCGGACGAGCCGATCGGCTGCCGGTGACCTCAGGCGCAAGCCGCACGGTGTTCACGATGTTCGGTCCGAGCTCAATCACGCGGAATCGCCCGTAGAATCGAGGCGCTAGCTTACCCTGACGAGCACATTTCCTCACTTGCACAATGTTCCCCAATTTGTACTAGGGTCGTGGACCTGCGTTCCCGTTCCGAGCCTCGTAGCTTCGCACCTGTCAGTCGTGGGTCAGCTCGGTCAGTTTCTGGCGTTTTCGGGCTAGCCTGGGGGGGGACCGTTCCGTTAGCTCCAAGTGCCGCTTGGCCTTGTCTCGAACCGTGGCCCTTGTGGTTCGGCGGTTGAGCGTCGATTCATCGGGGAGGCTCGGTATCGAAACGCAAGCGACGCTATTGGTCCTTAATTGGAAGGGCCTCAGGCCCGTTGATTCGTGGGGCGTTCCGCGACGGACCGCCAAGATGTGGTCTATGATATCGGGCCAAGGCCTGGGGTCCCGTTGCCGCGATGTTTCGTCGCAGTGCTGTCTTTATCACCCTATTCGCGTTTTCTACCAGCCCATTGGATTGTGACATGTGGGGTGTGGTATTCCCCACAGCGACACCGTGTATACTTCCCCTCTGAATTCTGCCCCGTTATCGGTCAGGATTTCTTCCGTATCCTGGTGCATCCCGAGAAAACAGTTAACATACTGCGCGACTTCGGCGGCTTGCCGCGTGCGACATGGATAGGCCTCGATCCATTTCGAAAAATGGTCGACAAATACCAGCAGGACTGAATATTCACAACTATTAGGGCCAGGAGGTACCACGATATTAGTAGTATACATACTCACCCTTTGAAACGGTCGCTCGACAACCGTTGGTACTATCGATCTTGGCGGCTGGATCGGCGCCTTGTCCGCAACGCAGACTTGACAGTTTGCGACGATGAATTTCACATCGTCCCGAATGTTGGACCAGTACCACTCATTTTTGTCGATTGCCGATTCCGTAATTCGTACGGCAAAATGGGCCGCCATTTCTTCGTGTCCTGTCTTCACCCTGTCATACCTCATGAACGGAGCGGTATAACCATCCAAATCCCACTGCCATTCGTTTTTCGTTTTTCTAACCTACCCTCTACCCATCGATAATCCTGAGCCCTTTCATTAGCCCTCCTCCGATCGTCCTTGGTGAAATCCTGGAGCGGGTTACCCACTAAGGTAGCAATCAGAGCGGTATCGGTCCATACTTCGGCCCTTCTAAACTTTCGGGTCTTCTCCAACCCTTCTGATGTGGCATCCAAAAAGCGAGCCTCGGTCGGGATCTTGTCAACCCGACACAAGGGGCACAGCCACGGTTTACTGTCATTTCGGTATTGGATGCACGAGCCATGGGCTCATGCGACACACTGTCGACAGTCTATCCATTCCGCATATCCTTTCCCGTTAGGACGCATGGAGACCGAATATACGCGAGAAATTGCTTCACAAAAATAGCAAAATTTATCAGGCAGGGAAAGAAGAGATGAAGAGGGGAGGGGAGAAAGAGGGGTAGTGGGGTTACCTCCGTCACCCATTGCCATCAGGCTACCTCTTGCCACGTGGGAGAACTGCCACTTGTCCGTACTTAGGCCCGTTTGTCGGTTCTGACTCCTTCCACGGAGTGATTTCCTCGCCCTTAGGTACTTTAGCGGGCCGATGCAGACGTGTCCGTCTATCCACGTTGCCGTGTCTTTCTGTCTTCCGTTGGATGATGTCGAAGTCGTACTCCTGTAGACGTACCGCCCAACGTCCAATCATGCCCGTGTAATTAGTGAGCGTTTTTAAAGCCAGCAGAGGCTCATGATCCGTCACGAGGCGGAACTTTTATCCGTAGAGATACGGATGGAAGTGTTGGATTCCGCAGACTACTGCATAGCATTCGCCTTGGGGTGCTGAGTCATTCCTCCATTCGTCTGGCACCGTTTGCGATGCGTACTCGATGACGTGTTCGCGACTATCGTTCCCCTTCTGTGCCAAAATGGCGGAGATCGCTTCCGGTTGGCAGTCCGTTATAAGAATAAATTGCTTGGCAGGGTTTGGTCGGATCAAAACAGGTGCAGTGACCAGGGCCTTTTTAAGCGCATCAAAGGCTTGTCCTCACTCAGAGTCTCACTGCAGAGGCTGGTTCTTGCGAAGCAGATTCGTGAGAGGCTGAGCAATCGCCGCAAACCCTTTAATAAAATGGCGGTAGTACGATGCTAGGTCTAAAAAGGCTCGAACCTGCGTCAGCGACGTAGGAACGGGGGCTTCTCTCACAGCTGCAACCGTCCTGGAATCCGGTCGCAGTCCTCCACGTGTCACTACGTAGCCCAAGAACGAAATTTCTGAGAGGAAAAATTCGCTCTTCTTGAGTGCAATCTTGATTCCAGCGTCTCTTAGTGCTCCCAATGTCCACTCGATGTGTTCCGCATGTCCGTGATAGGTCTTCGAGTAGACAAGAATATTGTCCAGTATACGATCACGGAGAAGTTAATCATCCCCTGCGTCAGCCGTGTCTTGTTGACGAAGTTTTGGAACGTCACGTTCATCGCTCGCTGAAACGTGACAGGCGCATTACAAATTCCCATCGGACATCGAACCCACTGCCACGTGCCTTCAAACAATACGAAGGCCGTCTTTGGCCAATCTTCCTCCTTAACCAGAATATGGTGGAAGTTATGCCGAATATCAAACTTACTGAAGTATTTAGCACACCTAATCGCATCCAGCAAATCATCAATCCGGGGGAGGGGATATGCATCTTTAATCGTGATTTCATTAAGTTTGCGATAATCGATGCATATGCGGATTATCCATTCTTCTTCGGTACTAACATGACTGGAAATTACCATGGTCCGGTGGCGGGTTCGATTCACCCGCTTGCTTCAAATTCTCGAATTCGTTCGAGAGTTTTTTTTGGTTCTATAAGGGAGTATCGGTAGGGCTTGAAGTGGATTGGGGAATGATTTCCCGTCTGAATTTCATGTTGGATGACCAACGACAAGCCGATGTCAGTATCCGTCATGCCAATCGCTCCCTGATATTCCGTCAGAATGTCCGCAATCAAACGATGAATCTCATTAGGTACGTATTGTGGAACATGTAACTTGAAGAGCTGATCCCAGATCCATACGTCGAGCTGCTTTGTGCGTGCTTGTTTTGTCCCACCGGGTGGTGGCGCAGAGATAAACGAATGGTCCGATTGCCAGGAGAACACCGTGGCCATCATCTGGGCATCTTCCTCCCGGATGACCACTTGTCCTTCCAGGGTGATCCCATCGCAGATATTTTGCCATGGTACGGTTTTAGTTGCGATCCTTACTCCGAGCTCATCTGATTCAGCCTCGAGACGCCCAAGGGGTTCCAAAGAACTGGCCTCCGCCCCCAGGCGTAGCAGTCATATTTTTTTTGCGGGTGTCAATAGGGACTTCGAGAGATGTGTGATATCTCAGTAGTGCTTTTTGTCATTGTATCGGGCGAGGAGAGAGGAGATTCCTTCGTACAGGGTTTGAGGGGGTTCCAAAGAGTCAACCATCCTCGAAATCTGTACGAGGGGTTCACCCAAAATCATCGCTTCGGTCCTTTGGATATTCCGACTAGTCAGATGCATCGTTCTTGCGATCGTTCTGGGCGGCGGGTAATAAATGTGTTGTCGTTCTGGTTTCATAATTTCCGGATCGTTTTCGTCATTGCTATCCAAATCCTTTGATGATAACTCATCATCTGCGGGGTCTTCCCAAGTGATCATACGGAGCGTTCCCGCTAACATCGGAGAAACTCGCGGGGCCTCGTTGATGGTAGTACGAAGGGTCAGCCTCATAGGTACAGCATAGGTTTTTCCTCCCGTATTTCGGAGGATGATTGACCGTCGCTCGAAATCCAAGTTCGCTCGCAACGCCACAAGAGAGGGAAGGCCAAAAAGAATGTCGTAGGTATTCACGTCTAATACCACGACGTCTCCTAACGCATGCACCTTTCCTAACCGGAAAGCGACATTGGTCATTCAATAGAAAAATTCCCACGACAAATAAAAGTTGAAAATACATTTAAAAAAAAAAAAAAAACTTCATATTTATAAATTATCATTCCAATGTTCGTCAAATTCAAAAATTTCCAGCTTTATTTAACAAGTTCCCATCTAAATATGAGTTTTCCCTTCCAACTACATCTATTTGTTCAAGATGGAATGAAAGTCTGGACGAGTTTATGATATGTTTTAATTAAATTTTCATTCTACTACAACAAATATCTTCTAATTTAAATTGGATTAACCTATTTATGACTGAAAATTTTTACTTAGAATCACAATTCTATTAAAATATTTAATGAACTCATCCAGACTTTCATTCCATCTCTAGCATGCAATTCAAATAAGAAGGGATACCCCATTCTTTGAAGGAAAGTTTTCAAGTAAGAAGGAGAATTTTAAAATTGGAATGACATTTTTTAAGATGGAGTCGGGAGGACCCACTTCTTTCTGTTCCGGCGCCGGTCTGATTGTTCCAATCATTCCAAGTCGAGGATAACCAAGTGATACATACTGATCTAACAGGATGAGCTCAGCAACCTTTTTCGTGGTTGCTAACGCACTTCCCCCTCCTTCCATCTCTTCCATCAGGGCTACTACCCGTCCAGGTCCGTTTGCGATGGGGGCTGTTGCGATGGGGGCTGCTGCCATGGATGCGACCCCGACCCGTTGTTGTGAGGGCTGGTGGGGGCAATCACAGGCTAGATGCCCTGGTTGATGGTATGCATAGCAAACATTCAAATTGTTCACGGCTCCCCGGAGAGCAGGCGCCAGGGCTAGCCCTTGTTGGATTGGAGGGGCACGCACCGCGATGGGCCACATGTTTCTCATCATGGCTTCTAACCGAGCGTTATGTTATCGCTGTTCCTTTTTGCTTTCCTGGATTAGGCTAATTAACGTTTTGGTCAGCTCAAAAATAGCAGTAGACTCATTTGTCCTTACCGGGTTCTCAATCGGTGGCGGGGGTGCCGTCATTACCGTTGTCGACATCACAGGAACAGGTACATTCGTGATTACACTCGGGGCAGGTCGTTTAGGGGCTATCTGTTCCACATAGGTGACCGGGCTAGACACAAATCCCGTATTCTCGAACTTGTTCTGCAACGCGGCCAACTCAGCTCTTGCCCTTGCGAGGTCGGACGAATCCCCTTCCTTAGGATAGTCTTCTCCTTCCAGGAAGTTCGTCGTGAACTTTCGTTCCATCTCGTCTGCAGCGGCCATGATCAGTTGCATCGTATGATTGATGGGGGAAAACTGTTTTCACAGCTTCGCCCTTCTCGTTCGACTGCGAAGCCCATCACTAAACAAATCTCTCCCGACTTGCTCGCCTCGCTCTGTTTTCACAAACATTCGGTAGAACCGGTTTCGATACTTTGCGATAGACTCGAGAGGTTTTTGCACCCGGTCTTTGATCATGTAAAGTGCTTGCTCTGGATGAACATAATCAAATCGATTCAGAAAATCTAGTTCGAAGGTCGGAAGATCTACCCATACATAGGTACTAAACCAGTGATGAGTGTCTCCTCCTTATCGAGCGGGAATGTTTACCTAAGCTTCGTTATGGTTATACTACTGTGCTCGGAGCGTGGCCAACCAGGCTCCTGCAAGATGATGTGCAGGGTCAAACAGATAGAGATCAGGTGGCGTCATGGGAGTCCGTGCTCGTGGGGCGGGTTGATTAGGATTTTGTTGATTAGCATTTTGCTACGGATTCGGATTAACGTTCTTGTTGGCTGCCCGTTGATTAACCGATCTACTTCGGGTGATGACGGGGTCGCGTCTATGCGCGTTCCGGGGTCGAGGTCGCCCTCAGTTAGCCAGGTCGCTCAATTATCGTGCTATTAATTCTAAAATCCGGCCACGTGTCGTGCTCCGATACCAACCTCACGCCCAACATGATTTCCTGATCGGAGTAGAGTGTGGGCCTGGAAGTGCGACAAGGGGTGTGCCAAGGATTTTTGGGGAAGTGGGGGTGGAGTCCCAGGTCAGAACTGAGATCTCCTGTGACAGAGATTTTTGGGGGCACGAGTGGAATTTGGCGGAGAGGGCGGACCGCCTCTGGTCACAAGGCAAATGGCATGCGTGGGTCATTCAAGGTCGGGCGAGTCATTGGTTCCGAGGACGGCGGTTTGCGGGAAGGTCCGTTCGGGATGGGTGAGGTTCCAATGAGTCAGGCCGTCTAAAGTTGCCACCTGGCGCTGGTCGTCGCGCGTTCGGGTTAGGCCTCCGGAATTCCGGGGTCCTCTGGTCGTTGCGTCGTCGGCAATTTCCGCAGGGCGTGCTAGGCCAGTATGGGGCTATGGCCTTCCACGGGACGACTCTGAGTCGGTGATACGGAAGAAGAAGACGGAAGGGAGGGAAGCTGGTGGAGATAACGACAAATCCGGTGTGGGTGAAGTAGTGGGTGTGCTCCTGAGTGGGGAAATCGGAGCACCAGGGGTCGCTAGTGGTGGCGCACTGAAACTCCCTAGGACACAATCGATTCTCTGTTAGGCAAGGGTATCTTCGTCAGAGGCTTTCCTCTATCCAAGGGGTGAAATCGTCCAGGTCGTACAACAACGACTCTGAGCTCTCGGAGTGTGTCATTATGTCATCGCAGAGCTGCGAGATGGCTGAGGGCGGGTGTGTGCCGATTGCAATCACCTCGTGTGAGCACGTGCAAGTTGTGCAACTCGAGTCTCGCTTACACGTGTTCACACGGGATGGCCGTATTTGAATCAAACAGTACTCTTGTAATTGACGAATCGACGCACAAGGACACATGTAAAGGCGCAGATCAGGTCGTGATTACACACGTCCTCGCGCGGCGTTCGCTGGGTCAGATATTCGATTGTCTAATCACTCCGTAATTTTCGAGCATGCAAGATGCAATAACCACAACGCCTCAATCAAAAAGATAAGCAAAAACGAAAACATGATTAACGAAATTCATATCCTACTCATGAGTGCATCAAAGGCAGTAAACAAAGGCAAAGGGAAAGATCCGGTAGAAAGACAAGCAACCAACTCTGACATTCATTCATACATTCATACACCATATCCGACATGGAAAATCGCGAGGAGAAGGGTGAGCGAAAAACCAAATCCAAATTCCGAAAAACAGAAACGGGCAAATCGCCCGGAGCCGAAATCAAAATTTATATACACGAGACAGGAGAGAGAAAAGATAAAAGAAACAACAAATCCTCGTCCATCAACCTCAACTCCCTCTTCCTCTCTCTCTCTCTCCGATGCGGACAGTCCGTCGTCGCGCACCAACCCGCGAAGCCGTCACCCCGCTTAGTCCTCCCGCACCCGTCAGGTTCGCCCGCGCCCACAGTCCGTCGTGGCCCGCTTCACCCCCTCACGTTTGGCACCAGCTCGTCGGGTCGCTCGACTCCTACTCTACTCACCTCTTACTTCGCTCGTGTGCCAACCCTCTGTGACCGCGCAACCCCGAGCTTCCGCTTAGCTGGTTAAGAGCTAACTAATCGCGCAGGTCAAAATTTATAGCGTGTATGCATGCGCGAGGAACACGGAATTACAAAAACTTAGAAGGAGAGAAGGGGGAGGGATTGCCTACGCGTGCATGGCCAGAACGCGGCGTGGGGGACGTAACCGCTCTCCACGCATCAGTCCGATCATGCAGACCGTGGCTACCAAAAACGCAGCAAAAGAAAGAAAAGAGGGGCGAGAAAGACGAAGCACAAGAAGAAAGATACAGTTACAATGGCGCCAATCCAAAATTACAATTACACACTCGATTAAAGGCGGCGATTAATCAGAATTTCGTTGCAACCGCATAAAGAAGCGCGTAAACAAAAGGCGTCGTGCGGCAATCGGGGTTTGGGTATCTGGCTCCTCTGACATTCCATGGTTGATGAGGGACTGTATGGATTCGGATTATTCCTACCCTATCCACATCTAACCTTCCCCTCTGATCATCATTGAAATTATCTTCGTTGATTCTGCAATTCTCCTCATCCCATCTCTCTTTCATCTGCCCTATCAGTTTCCTCTCTTGTTTATAGCACACACCCTCCTCGTGTGTTACTAAAACTGGAACTGGGTGACTCTTCTTATCTACTGTCTTGTACCTCCTTTTGCTTCCTTGCTTGAGCTCACCCCTAAAAAATGTTGGCCGCTTGCTTGAGCATACGGCCCCTGCATTCTTGCTTCTTGTGTGGATGGCGGTTTGTAAACCAGTTTCAACTTTCCTCCTTCAGGGTAATCATATAACTTGTCTGCCAGAGCTTTGATTGCTTCTGGTTCCGCCATCTCATAAGCGGAGATCATATACATAGCTTGGTCAATATTTGTCAAGCTTAAAGCTAAACCTTCATCCTCCTCTCCCTCATCTTCCTCATGAAACCCCCACTCCAACTCTTTCCTCCTTTCCTCTAACTCCTCAAAGGTATATGATCCCGCATTGAGGCGGTTCTTTGAGCTATGAGGACCTTTATTCTTACAGGGGATGACCTCAAAGTTCCCGCACGTTGGGTGACATAAGATCAAAAACATGGTTTTATCATGCTTGTTCATGATGAGAGCCTCCGAGCGCGATAAAAAAGACCTTCCTAGTAATATAGGAAGATCCAAGCTGGGCATGATATAAAAACAAGAACGAACCTTTACTCGTCCAACTTCCACTATCACATTTGATGCTATGCCATTATATCCTGACTTTCCGCTTGCCCCATTAAGGTATCGACAGTCTCTCTCGTCAATTTTCAGTCCCAACTTTTTAGCTGTTTCCGAGTTCATGATGTTCATCTCTGCTCCTGTATCTACCATTCCCGGACAACCCTTTCCCCTGATGTTAACATCAATGAACCCTGTTCCTACTGACTTCCAGTTCATTTTGCTGCCAGCAATCGTCCAGTTGGCTTCTTTGGGGATCACGTCTCCGAGCCTAACTGTTACCACTCTTTTCCTTGCCAGCTTAGCTTTGACCAACTCTCTTAGTTTTGGTGCTGTTGCCAAAATCTCTTTCAGGTTTAGCAACTCATTGTGTCCCTCAAGAAGTTTATTTACTAAATTTTCCAGGTTCACACCTTCTTCAATTGAGGTTTGGTACCTCTACTTTTTCTTCGACTTCTCCCCAACCTTCTCTTTTCCATCATTAGTCTTACGCTTTTTGACCCTCTGATCTGCGCGTTTGTTCTTTTCTCCTCTAAGCACCTCATCTTGATCCTCCTCATCTTCTCCTATATCGATTGAGGCTTCTGCCTGAGGTGGCAAAGGAGCCTGAGCTGGTTCCTTGAACGTATTACCCCCCTTCGGTTTTCATGCGATATGGGGAGTATAATTCCTTAGTGCCTGATAAGCTGCGTCTGATCCAGCGGCCAGAGTTGCTCGTACTGCTCTGGCGTTGGATGTCCTTGAATCGGGACCTTCTCTTCCTTGACTCATGGTGGAAGCTTGTTGGGCCTGAGTCGCCCTCACGGCTCTCACATTGTGTGCTTTTGGCTCGGAAGCTTCTTTTTCCTGTCCCATGGTGAACTCATGCGGAATGCTCATTTCCAAGTCTTTAACTTCTCTACAGATGTCTGTCATTCTTGTGTTTAACCTTCTCATGTTATCCACCAGGTCTTTCATCCTTCCCATGATTTTCTTTGATGACTCTTTTACCTCATTGTCTTCTTCTGACTCAATCTCAATCAGCGGGACATCTTCTTTTTCCTCACTTCTTCTCATTCTTTTTTTTAGCTGATTACTGAACTCATCAATCTCCTCTACCCAAACAAACGGGTCCTCTTTCTCTTGCCATATGTGAAACATGGCTGGCCCACTTGGTCCAAGTCCCGCAACTCTGAGTGCTTCCTTTCTACTGCCTCCTGGAATGTTTGGGTCTATCTGCCTTCTTGTCTTGTTGAACAAATCTCCATCTATGCTTGACGTAATTAATCCATCATCTTCATCCATTCTCCTGACATGACACCTTTTTACAATGTGTCCTCTGATTGTACAGTGGGTGCATATACACTCATTGTAATCTATCCATCCTCTTCCAAATCCCTGACCGTTCCACTGCGCATCACTTCTGCCAAAACCCCTACCATAGTTCTGGTTATAACCTTGGTTATAACCCTGGTTATAACCTTAATTGAAACCTTGGCTGATTTGGTTGGAGTTCACTTGGTTATAATTTCCTTGTTGAGGGGCCCTTTGATTGCCCCAGCTTCCTTCTTGTCCCCCATTTCCTCTTCCTCCGTATCCTCGGCCTCCCTGGCCATTTCCTCTTCCCCCATTCCTATTTCTACCTTGTCCTTGTCCGTGTCCTTGCCCCTGAAACTGCTGCTGTCCTTGGTTTTCTGGCGGTGCATGCTGAATTTGACCTCCACCTCGAC